AGAGGCCGTCAAATTGTCCGATCCGGGAGTTCGGGTGTTAACTCCAAGACCAATAAATTCAGTCTATTTTGACAATTAAATTCCTACAAAAAGTTGATGGAGTTATAATAAGAAATTCCATAAACTCTGCTCTGGCCATAGCCCTAATTAAATACAAACAAGTCCTGTGTATTTCCCTGCACTTCCTCGTTGGGTCTCTCTGCTGTTCACATAATCGCACGGGGAAGTAGGAATGCATGCTACATCCTTAGCTCTGGAGATCAACGGCTGATAGAACTGTGACCAGGGGGCGCTCTAACAAAATATAAATATCCGCCATTACAGCCCATTCGCCGCGTCACTATGAAGGCTGCAGGGTTCAAAGAACTTATTAGCGGCTTATAGTTCAGCAAGTACAGTATACATTGTTTTGTAAGTTTCGCACCGAGACAAATCAAAATAGAGCCCGGCTAATAATTATGTGAGTAGACAAAACAGTATTCCCCACTACAGTACGCCAAACCTAACTATAAAGTGTTGGACAAAGTGCTGCATTGTCACTAAATTATTCAACTTGCCAGAAATGTTGTGATTCGCAACAGCCACAATAATATTTCAGCAGCCAAAAAGGTCAAGAGAATGTATTTTTATGATTTATAAATGAAATGTTTTTGTTTGGGCAAGTATTTTTAAAATTCCACAGTCACGGTAGAGCATACTTCACTTTTCTCTCTGAAAAGGCTGATGAAATGTTGTGACAGAGAATAAAGAAACAAGTTATGTGAACGCTAGCGATGCGCCAAACTGTTCTGAGAGCTTGGACCCAGGTACTTGTTTTTGAATAATGGAATACCGTCGTTAATGCGTTTTGTCAACCTATATTTTGGATTTTAAATTCTGAAGGAGCTGAAATCCTCCCACGGGTTTTCCTGAATATTGCAGATTGCAGACTCAGTCCTGAATCTACAGCCTCAGTCCTGGGTCTACAGCCTCAGTCCTGGGTCTACAGCCTCAGTCCTGGGTCTACAGCGTCAGTCCTGGATCTACAGCCTCGGTCCTGGGTCTACAGCCTCAGTCCTGGATCTACAGCCTCAGTCCTGGATCTACAGCCTCACTTCTGGATCTACAGCCTCAGTCCTGGATCTACAGCCTCACTCCTGGATCTACAGTCTGTTCCTCTGTGGGAACGGATTCCTCCCTCATTATAATCCTCATTTTCTCACACCGGATTTTTACTTTTTATTTGCCGATCCAGTCCATAAATGCAAACATTTATGGACATTGGCCATCTGCCTCTTATGGACCAATAGTTCTATATGTTTTTGGTTGTTTTATGATTTCATTTCTTGTGTTGGAACTGTTTAATTCTCTGATCTGTGTTCGGCGAGTTTGACGGTTTTGTAAAGTCCTTCGAGATACTACTGTTGTGATTTAGGGCTATTCAAAAACACATTGAATTGAATTAATGGGTTAAGGTGCATTCATCCAACATATGACAAATATTTCACAACCTCGGGTACGAGCTTGGGCCAGGACCCTTGACATTTCATCCCAGCGTTAGAATCCGGCTTCCTGCTCTGTCTCTACTCACGACAACTTGACTGCCACAAATCCGATGCATGGAAACCCTAGATTTGACCGAAACAGTTCAACAATAAATAGTCTATAGGTAAAAGTTTGGGCAACGTCGGTGATGCGCCATTTTTCCTGCAAGTTTGGACGGCATTCAAAGCAAAGAAAACAACCAACGGTAAAATCCTCCATTTCGATTGTTCTGTACATGCGAAATCTCGGAGTCCGCTGAATCTCTCCAAAACATGTTGCCGTCTTGAGTTGGTAATAAGTTATATACAACTTTGTACATTTGCAAAAACAAACAATCACAAAATCTAGTCTGATTTGCGAAGGGGAAAAAAACATCTCCCAAAAGTTCCAGAGAATAGATATGACTACATTGAGCATTTTTTCTTTACAAGATCTCCGTTAAATATGGGAGACGGTGTCCATTTGGAAAAAGTTTCAAAGTGACGTTTTTACCTAAAGCAAAGCACAGCGAAATCTAAAGAGTGCCACGGTAGTTTACATTCGTCCAGCAGGGGGAGTAGAGCAGGTACAGTCCGCTGCGTCACTTGGTGGTGGATCCTTTTGTACAGTTGATTGGTTTTCTAAAAGGGAGGCAAGTCGGAGGAGCGTGGAGCTAGAAAATGTGGGCAAAATGGCGGGATTGTAGGCACACAGGGGCGGCAGTGTGGGAGGGGGAGACGGGAGACGCAGAGCAGAACCGGAGATGGACCTGGGAGAGGTTGGTTTCAGACGGCCGGGGTAAAGAGTTCTTGAATTTCATAGTTACCTCCATAACTTTAAGAAAATGTCTTCGCACAATCTTTGGAAAAAGACCAAATTGTGATATTTCTGGCCAATTGTGCTGCGATGTTCAGTACCCTATATCAGCTGTCGCCAACAGCGTTCGATTGGGGAGCTACTTTAGCGCAACAGAAATGGCAGAGAGCTACTATTTTTTTCCATAATAAAAGAGTAGTAACATGTAATAACTGCGGAAAATCACATGTTATTTTACGGTAAAATGCTCCAAATGACTGTATAACCCGAAGTTGTCTAGTTCAATGATATATGCAATGACTAAAAATGCAATCTTGCGTTTTGTGTCAAATTCCTGAATTCTTTGGGGAGCTACCATAAAGGGGTTTGCGAGCTACCGGTAGGTTCTGAGCCACAGATTGGAGACCCCTGCACTATATGATTAAAATAAGTATAAAAAAAAAAAGAAAACAAGGTATTATAGCTGAAGTAAAACATACAGTTTATAAAAGCCTCTCTATGAAGAGCTAACGTGCACAATTCCCACTCATTTCAGAATCATAAGTCTTCAAGAATAAGTCTTGTGCAACATTTTATAGAAATTATGAATAAGGTTAGATATTTCTGCCAACTTCAAGGCAACAAATACTTAATTGTAAAAACTCGGCACGGTGGCTGAGTGGATAGCACTCTCGCCTCTCAGCAAGAAGGTCCTGGGTTCGAATCCCGGTCGGACCAGGGCCTTTCTGAGTGAAGTTTGCATGTTCTCCCCGTGTCTGCGTAGGTTTCCTCCGGGTACTCCGGTTTCCCCTACCACTAAAAATATGTACAATAGTTCTGGCATGCGCCTCCTGTACTGGCGACCCCGCTCCCATCTCTGTGTGGAGTGAGAGACAAATGCCACAAAATTAACAATTGTAAACCGCTTTGAGACTCAGATCTGCAGTGAAAAGGCGGTATATAAATAAAGATTACTACTACTACTACAACTTAATTCCATTTTCAATTCTGAACTTTGCCACGACCAGTACTCCACAGTTCACCTTCATTTTAACTTTAACTTCTAAATAGTGAAGGAAATCTCCATCTGTTTGACGTTCGAAAAGCTGAAAAAGTATTTAAATCAGCCCAAACACTGTAGCGCTCTCGGGCTAAGGATGTTTTTTTTCAAAGCAGGTCAAGTTTTGCGGAGAAAACAAATTGTGCTTATGTAACGACAGAAATGAAATCAGAACAAAAGGCATTAGCAGCGGAGCCTGATCCAAAGCAGGCATTTCAGTTCCTCACACATTCAAAGAAAAGGTTTAAAAACAGAAATAAAACATGGGTAATATGTTTCATTTTTTGTCTATTTTAAAAGAAAGATATTTTGTGTCTATGCAGTTATTGAGTAAAGATCACAGCTGATGTCATAACGGCCACAGAGGGATAATTGTGTGTTTCAAAATTAACTATGGCCGTCTGAAAACCCGGCCCCAGAGGAAATGATATTGACTGGCTTTGATTGTTTTGCCTGGAATATTCCCAAGTCTGCATTAACCTTGTCCATCTATATTTGAGACAAGCGTGTGACATCATTTGGCTCAGTTACAGGCCATATCTGTGGAGAGGAGAGGTGGCCCAGTGTAAGAGTTCAGGTTATTGAGCAGGCAAAAACATACAGTGTGTAATTTTCATCTTATCATGAATTTTACAAATAATTTTTTTAACCAATTTAGTTCAAAGGCGGCGATTAACATTAAGGTTTATTTCAGTCTTTTCCAAATGTACGTCACTTTTTGTATTTTTATAAACTTTATGCATTTTTTAAAGCAGTGTCTCCCAAAGCGGGTACTGCAGCAGGCCGTGAGAGGTCATAAAAAAGAAAATGTTTTATATAACTATTGTATGTTAAATTAATAATATTTAGTTTGTATTATTAAAATATCTGTGTTTATTATTTGACTTGAATAATCAATTCCCCCAAATAAAATAACAAGAAGAGCCTATTTTTTACGTCGTCTTCTTGGTTAGTATTCGGAGGCGGCGCAGACTCGTCAGATTTTTAAGGGAGCCGTGGTGAATGGCTGTTGTAGGGCATTCGTACTCTGCTTATACAGACTTGTAAGATCCCCATGAGTCACTTATTGACTCTTTGGGCTGACAGCTGAATGAGAGAAATTTTCACCATTTCTTTAACTGTTTTAAAGCTAGGAATTAGAGCAGTGATGATTAATGAATAGTAAATAAAAGTCTGCCCCTTATGGACCAATGGCTCTATGTGTTTTTTTTATCTCTGCATTTCATGTGTTTTAACTGTTTGATTCTCTGATCTGTGTTAGCGATTTTTGACGTGGTTTAGGGATGTACAAAAACAATTTGAATTGGTTTTGAAAGGAGGAAGCTGGAGGATTGACCTATTGTGCATGTTTTTAGTGGTAGGGGAAACCTTAGCACCCGGAGGAAACCTACGCAGACACGTGGAGAACAAGCAAACTCCGCTCAGAAAGGCCCTGTGCCGACCAGGATTCCAACCCAGGACCTTCTTATAGAGAAGCGAGAGCTGCTATCCCCTGTGCCACAATTTTTAACAATTATTTATCTTTTTATTCTTTTACAATCTGGCCTCTCTCCCCCGAGGGAATCTCCGCTTCAGCTCGCCATCTCCGCGCCTCAACACACATTTCTGAGCGGGGGCGTGCGGCTTCGGCCTTTTGCGGTGGTTACAGGTAGATCTCTCGCTTGGCCGCCGTCTGCCCCGCGGCCGTGGAGTGGCTGGGGTGGTGGTACTCCTGGCTGGGCACGGCGGCGGGCTCCTTCTTGGCGCCGGGGCTGGTGACGTCGCCCGCCGCGCTGGTGGTGGTGTAGGCACTGTTGTTGTAGGGCGTCATGAAGCGCATGTTGGCCATCTTGCTCCCGCGCTCCAGCGTCCCGGCGCCACGCTCGTCTTTGGCGGTCTGCGCGCTGCCGTTACACTGCGACAGAGGAAAGGTCGGGTTTTTTAGTCAAAAGTGGTGTTTTTAATGCAGCACATTGTCACACAGACTGAAGAACGACATAATACATGTTTATTTATATAGCGCTTTTTATCAAGGTCACCCAAAGCGCTTTACACTTTTCCGAGTTCAGATATTGTTCCAATCACTCCACACACGGCGATGACAGAAATGAGTCGCCGAACACACTGGACCATCAAAGCCTCCGACCAAACACCATCCATTCACTCTCTCATTTACATTCATACCTATTGTGCATGTTTTTAGTGGTAGGGGCAAACCGGAGCACCCAGAGGAAACCTACGCAGACACGAGGAGAATATGCAAACACCATCCAGAAAGGGTGGACTTGGATACAAACCCAGGACCTTCTTGCTGAGAAGTGAGAGTGCTAACCACTCAGCCAACATGACTTCAGATTAAATCTTAATTAAGATTAAGAGATTCTTTACTCGTCCCACAGTGAGTACGTTTCAGTGTTGCATCACCAGTTGTAGAGCGGTAGGAATGAGGAGCACACAACACACAATAAATCAACAGTAACTTTTCTAAAAATACTATTAATACTGAAATTAAATAAAATCTCTAACTCTAGCGTCATAAAGATTTAAGTAAAACATCTCTGACTTTATCATAAACTTAAATTTCATAAATGCACACACACACACACACACACACACACACACACACATGCACACACACACACACACACATGCACACACAAACACACACATGCACACACACACACACACACTATACAAAAAACACACAAAGTGTTGTTATTGTTCATAATCTCTAAAACTATTACATTTTATTCTGGGTGTGAACACTTTCATAGTGTAGTTACAACTTGAATATAATCAAACCACAAGCACGATTAAATTAAATAATTCAGGGATGACAGTTTTCCACTGATCCGCAGAATTACTTGATGACTTTTTTTTTGCTGAAAACATTATTACACGTAAATGTCAAATTTTCACCAAAAGTGATTTGTGCTCAGCGGGGTCCTTTAAGACTTTACAGAGCTGTCAAATAAATCTGAGTGAGTCAGAGACCAAAGTCCAATTGTTGTTATCAAAAAGATATTATAAAAGCAATAGTGAACAATGTATATTCATGCAAAATGTTTAGCCATGGCCTTAGCCTAGCATAACCATAGCAAAATGTTTAGCCATAGCCATAGCTATGGCAAATGTTGAGCCATTGCCTGACATTTCAATTTTTTTTTTTTATGTTCTCATCCCTGATGTTTTCAGAAATGTCTGAATCAGCACTTTTCCTTCATCAGTTCTTTTGTTATACAGAAAAAAGAAAAGAAAAGACAGACTTTACTGACCTCACACTGGAGAAATGTACAATAAACTTTAGTAGCCTATTATCAAAACTGTTGGGTTGTCAGTAGCGAACGTAATCTCCTGCTATCGTCAGAGTTCTATTTAAAACACATTTTTCACATTTGATAAAAGACAAATATAACGTTGGACTCTGGACAAAGACTGAACACGTTTAGAAACACGTTAGAGGAATGTGAGGATGTTCTTGTTTGTGAAGGACATCAAACAGTCTTTGTGATGTTCTAGTCCTGATTTGTCTCAAAGCCGTGCTCAGATCCTTTTGAAGACGCTGGAAACGGCGGCAAGTCCCAAGTATCTCTGAAACAGTGGTTGTTTTATGCTTCATAATTGTTTTTTTTCTTACTTTATACCTAGCTGTAAATGTTGCTGCAGTACAGTGTTCATGGTTTTACATTGAATCAGATCAGAGCAGAGAGAATGGCCCACACCAGGCAGATAAAGCATAAATCTACTGGAGGAGTTGAAATTGCCAATAAAGCATGTAGAATTTCACTCTGAACCAGAGCAGAGAAAATGATCCAAGCTACTGTATCTATTTATCAAGAATAGGCATTTGAAACTCAGGCTGTGGCGCTCAAGGCAATGTTCAAGGGAACGATCAGAAGTCTCCAACCTGTAGCTCGTCAGCCCCTTTCAGGTAGCTCCCCAAACGATCGAGAGTTTAACAAATGATCTTGAATGAATCCATTTTGAGCCGTTACAAAACCATTATAAGTATAAATATAGGGTTATACGGTATGATAGTATATTTTATGTGTTCTCAGTCTCAGTTTCTTGTCATAATTATGAGATAGATTTTTATCACAACTTCAAAAAGGAGTAGCTCTCTGTCTCTTATTTCATATGAACACAGCTCTCTTGAAAAAGGTTGGAGATCCCCTGGACAGACTTTCACAGTAGGTTGCAAAGTATTCCACAATAAAAATAACAATGAAAGTAACAACCTGAAACTGAGAATAATAATAAGATAATAATGTGATAATATTGTGAAACAGATCCGTGACAGTGTGTGTTGTGTACCCACCAGAGTGCCGGCGGACTCGGCGTCGGCGTGGTAAGGCACGAAGGTGGACAGCTTGGCCTGGGTCTTGGGGTTGGGCAGGGTGTGCGAGTGCGAGTGCAGAGGAGCTTTGCGACCCGGAGAGGAGGGGGGCTGGCCGGGCATCCAGCACGAGTCTGAGTGGCCGAACTCCGTGCACTCCCGCGTGCAGTTACCGGTCATGGCCACGTCAGGGAGGGGGCGCAAGTCTGCAACAGAGAGGAGGGACAGCGGAGGTGTGAGATGTGTGTGTTTTCTGTCAGCACTGCAGATCTGTGTTGTTGGACATCACCAAGGTTGACAGGGTGACAGTTCTGAAGATGGCTCGCAGCCGAAACACGTTAACAACAAAATACATCTAAACTTTCAAAAGAACCAAAAAAGCATTTTAACTTAAGACAAAATTCTACTTTTTGAATCACTGTCCTTAGACCCTCCTGCACCGGCAAAAAACAACTCTAAAAACCCAGTGGGAGAAAATCAATCCAAACAATAATATCATTTCATTCAAAATATCGAACTAAAACTGTGATTTGGTTTTAACAATACTTATGTTAAAGGTACACTGTGTAGTTTTTACTCCCAGCATTGAGACCATATATTGTAATTTACGGCAACCTTTATTGAGCCCTAGCACACCCTTGTCATTGCATAATATACCATGGCACACCACCAGCTGAAACGGATACAAAATGGAGACTCTACATTCTTTATTAGCAAATCAAAGTCATTCTCATCTATGTGTGTAGTCTAACACACCAAACAAGGACAAACTAATCTTTCTAATCATCTCACAATATTTTTTTTCACATGATTTTGACCAAGCAGCTGATATTGGATCATTTCCATGGCACACTAATAAACTTCTCAAGGCACACCAACCTGCCACGGCCCACTGGTTGAAAAACACTGATTTACGGTACTACAGTAGCTTCTCAGGACAATATGTGGTTTTTGACAGTGGTCCCCAACTCCTGCTCAAACTCCTTTTTGTCCCTTATCAACCACTGTATTTCAAGATGGCGCATCGACACAGAGAGTCCTCCAGCCTCATGGACATTTATAAGTCAGATTCTAACAATTCAAAAACATGGTGAAGGTAAATATTCTTAAAGAGGTCTTAAAGAGGGTTTTTTTCATTTGAATCAACTGTATAAATTACACAGAGTAACTCTAAATAAAAGTAATTTGTTGTGCCTAATATACAGTATATATGTTAAAATTCAGCCTAATCCTTTCGGTCATAAATGCGATTGTACATTAACTGACATAAGCTAAATTGTTATTGTAACCTTGTCCGTTTTTTAATGCCTTTTTTTATATCCAAACATGTGTATGCCCGAATAAACTTACCATTACCTTCATAATGATAAAACTAAGCTAAAATATTTCCATTATGCAAACGGCGTATTGCATTGTTTGAAATACGCAGACCTCAGAATCTGAAGAAGGAAGATTTAATGTCACGGCGAGCACACGGAAAAAGGTTATTTGCGCTTTCGGACCACTCGGCTGACCTTTCTCATGCTAAAACGACACTTTTAAATGCAAGCTCATCCGGGACACAAGCTCAAAAAGAGAAAGGGAAAGGAGCGGAGAAGAATTCCATACGCACCATTTTGCACACTGCTTTACATATGGTTGAAACTATAAGGAGATCATACATAATGCATGGGGCGGGAAAAAGCCAGGTTTGGGGTTTTCAGAGTTGGAAGCGAAATGGAAAGTGGTAATAATGGTTATGTTACGCAGTGGAAGTGATTTTGGAGGAGGAGTCTGCTGCGTGTGCTGCTTTGTAAACACATTTGAATCCTTTTCTGTGCGTTTAAACGGGAACAAAATGCAGCTTTAATAACTTCTCCTTGTTTCTGCCTTTTTGACACTTTTCGGTTTTCCTCTCTCCGCCTCGTATGAATACTCTGACTACAGAAAGTTTAACCTGAGACAGAGGAAAGAAACTCATGAATAGAAAAAAGTCTTGTAAATTGTAAATGATCGGCTAAGTCAGGCTCGTGGGCCAAATCCGACACACAAGACGATTTTTAATGGTCCCAAAAATGACTAAATTATTATTACTCACTTGCGGCATTGATGGCTATGGGCTTCCATGGCCTGTTATACATCATCTAATTTCTCAGGGCAACAACCACATTTAATCTATTATACAGTATACAATTTTCTCCGTGTATCTTGTTTCAGAATCACAATCATTTGTTGAATTTTGTAATGCAATGAATGAACGACATACTTTTGGGGCAATTTTCCATAATCCCATTGGTTTGAATGAGAGAGGATTAGTTTCATAATTAGCATAAGTTAGCTAGTTTTTCCGTGGTAGTAGTTTGATAATGGTTGGAGTCGTCTGGGCTTGTCTCCGGTGAAGGTCAGCTGCCGTGTCTCCGCCGGACAAACTCCATACTGTCTTTTTTGTGTGTTGCAATCTTAACGTTGTGTGATTTTGCGTTGACAGGCAGTGTGTCCCCGCGCTGCTGCTGGGGCCCCTTCATTATCTCGGGGCCACATTAGACCCCTGCACTGTGTCAGTCTTTATTCAGCTTTTAACAACTCATTAAAGCCGCAGAAACTCAATTAGGACGCAATTAATTACAATACACCAGGCCCAGGAAACCAGGGCGGAGGACACATGGGGAGGGTGAGGGAGGTGTGGGTGAGGGAGGGGAGAGGAGAGGACACATGAGAGACGGGAGAGGAGGGGAGGAGGAGACATGGGGGATGGAGGAGGTAGGGATGAGGGGGGAGAGAGGAGAGGACACATGAGAGACGGGAGAAGAGGGGAGGAGGAGACATGGAGAACGGGAGTTGAGGTGAGGAGGATAGAGGAGACATGGGGAGGAAGAGAGGGAGAGAGGATACATGGGGAGGAGAAGAGAGGAGACATGGGGAGGAGGAGAGGAAGAGAAGAGACCTGGGGAGGAGAAGAGAGGAGACAGGGGGAGGAAGAGAGGGAGAGAGGATACATGGGGAGGAGAAGAGAGGAGACATGGGGAGGAGGAGAGGACACATGAGAGACGGGAGAGGAGGGGAGGAGGAGACATGGGGGATGGAGGCGGTAGGGATGAGGGGGGAGAGAGGAGAGGACACATGAGAGACGGGAGAGGAGGGGAGGAGGAGACATGGAGAACGGGAGTTGAGGTGAGGGGGATAGATGAGACATGGGGAGGAGGAGAGGAAGAGAAGAGACATGGGGAGGAGAAGAGAGGAGACATGGGGAGGAGGAGAGGAAGAGAAGAGACTTGGGGAGGAGAAGAGAGGAGACATGGGGAGGAGGAGAGGAAGAGAAGAGACATGGGGAGGAGAAGAGAGGAGACATGGGGAGGAGGAGAGGAAGAGAAGAGACATGGGGAGGAGAAGAGAGGAGACATGGGGAGGAGGAGAGGAAGAGAAGAGACATGGGGAGGAGAAGAGAGGAGGACAGGGGGAGGAAGAGAGGGAGAGAGGATACATGGGGAGGAGAAGAGAGGAGACATGGGGAGGAGGAGAGGGAGAGAAGAGACATGAGGAGGAGAAGAGAGGAGACATGGGGAGGAGGAGAGGAAGAGAAGAGACATGGGGAGGAGAAGAGAGGAGACATGGGGAGGAGGAGAGGAAGAGAAGAGACTTGGAGAGGAGAAGAGAGGAGACATGGGGAGGAGGAGAGGGAGAGAAGAGACATGGGGAGGAGAAGAGAGGAGACATGGGGAGGAGGAGAGGACACATGAGAGACGGGAGGAGAGGACACATGAGAGACGGGAGGAGAGGAGGGGAGGAGGAGACATGGGGGATGGGGGAGGTAGGGGTGAGGGGAGAGAGAGGAGAGGACACATGAGAGACGGGAGGAGAGGGGAGGAGGAGACATGGAGAACGGGAGTTGAGGTGAGGAGGATAGAGGAGACATGGGGAGGAAGAGAGGGAGAGAGGATACATGGGGAGGAGAAGAGAGGAGACATGGGGAGGAGGAGAGGAAGAGAAGAGACCTGGGGAGGAGAAGAGAGGAGACAGGGGGAGGAAGAGAGGGAGAGAGGATACATGGGGAGGAGAAGAGAGGAGACATGGGGAGGAGGAGAGGACACATGAGAGACGGGAGAGGAGGGGAGGAGGAGACATGGGGGATGGAGGCGGTAGGGATGAGGGGGGAGAGAGGAGAGGACACATGAGAGACGGGAGAGGAGGGGAGGAGGAGACATGGAGAACGGGAGTTGAGGTGAGGGGGATAGATGAGACATGGGGAGGAGGAGAGGAAGAGAAGAGACATGGGGAGGAGAAGAGAGGAGACATGGGGAGGAGGAGAGGAAGAGAAGAGACTTGGGGAGGAGAAGAGAGGAGACATGGGGAGGAGGAGAGGAAGAGAAGAGACATGGGGAGGAGAAGAGAGGAGACATGGGGAGGAGGAGAGGAAGAGAAGAGACATGGGGAGGAGAAGAGAGGAGACATGGGGAGGAGGAGAGGAAGAGAAGAGACATGGGGAGGAGAAGAGAGGAGACAGGGGGAGGAAGAGAGGGAGAGAGGATACATGGGGAGGAGAAGAGAGGAGACATGGGGAGGAGGAGAGGGAGAGAAGAGACATGAGGAGGAGAAGAGAGGAGACATGGGGAGGAGGAGAGGAAGAGAAGAGACATGGGGAGGAGAAGAGAGGAGACATGGGGAGGAGGAGAGGAAGAGAAGAGACTTGGAGAGGAGAAGAGAGGAGACATGGGGAGGAGGAGAGGGAGAGAAGAGACATGGGGAGGAGAAGAGAGGAGACATGGGGAGGAGGAGAGGACACATGAGAGACGGGAGGAGAGGACACATGAGAGACGGGAGGAGAGGAGGGGAGGAGGAGACATGGGGGATGGGGGAGGTAGGGGTGAGGGGAGAGAGAGGAGAGGACACATGAGAGACGGGAGGAGAGGAGGGGAGGAGGAGAAATGGAGAACGGGAATTGAGGTGAGGAGGATAGAGGAGACAGGGGGAGGAAGAGAGGGAGAGAGGATACATGGGGAGGAAGAGAGGGAGAGAAGAGAGCTGGGGAGGAGGAGAGGGAGAAAGGAGACATGGGGAGAGGATAAAAATGTGAACCTAACCTCGATGCAGTTTCCTTGTGTTTATCCAACAGAAAGAGTCTTTTAAAAGTAAAAGGTTGGGAACTAATCAAAGCAGTACATCTGAACACTTATTGTGTTTCTTATTTTGTGTAAGTAAGAGCCCACGAGAGTCACTGGAATTGTTCTTTTATTGACAATTGACCAAATAAATGAAATAGCAATAATAATAGAAATAATAGCAAACAATAATAGCAATAATTTGAATTGGATTAGAAATGCTTTGTATAAACACATTTCATTCTGCTGTCCTTATAGTGTCATAAAACCTCTTCTCAGCATGTTAAAGTGCACGGAAGGTTCAAAACATCATTCAACACAAGGTGAGTTTATTTGTATAGCACAGTTCAAACAAAAGGAAACTCAATGTGCTTAAAAAATAAGATAGAAACAAAAAAGAGAGCAAACAATCATACATTCAATCCCTCAGTTGTATAAAGCTAGACAAATTCAGATTAAAAAGGTATTGATTATTAACACAAGGACTCCTAGTATTCTGAAACTACTGGAACTCCCAGAGCCGTCATTTTGACTGCTCGCATTCAAATCAAAGGAATAAAAAAAAAAGAAAATAGTGAGTTTTCCACCAGTTTAACCTGAATCACTTGAACAAACCAACAGTCCTAAAACTGGGTAATGCAACTTAAATAAACAAAAAAAACAACAGTTAGCTGAATGGCTAAATGCTAACTTCTGCCCATAGACTGTAGATATTAACAGATGTAGTCACTCCTATCTCCGCCGTTCTAACTAATGTGCCACAACTTCCGCGGTCTGTGGGCAGTTTCAAAATGGCCGCAAGGGCTTGAAAATGTGAAAAAACGCATCTGCGCATGCGTCAGCTGCACGAGCCCCATTCATTTAAACGAGTGACTTCAAAAATTCACAGCGACTAAACTAGACTGGTCCAAAAATATTCACCCCCCTCAGCATTGACACACATGTGGAACGGAGCTTTGGGCCAAGAGCGACTTTTGGTCCATCCTGTAAACACGTTTTCCAGAGGTCAGCTAATGCTATATGTTAGCATTGGCTAATTCTTCTTCCGGGTCCACCCCCATCGACCCGGGGTGGTATTGCAAGCATGTCAGCGCATGTCATTTTGGCCACTTTTGAGCCAGGACCCGCCCCCACTGCTTCTGCCTATAAACAGTGTGTTGCTATGGTAACTAGCATAAACCAACACAAGCACTGGCTTTTCTCTGGTGGAAAACCAAGCTGACATGACTCAGAACCAGGACAAGTCCAGAATCAGCCCAGGACCAGACCAGTCCAGGACCAGACCAGGACCAGAACCTTTAGAAAAGTTGTTTAAACTGACACAGAATACAATATGGTTTCTGATAATAATAAATACATAATAATTTCATAAAAATAACGGCATAAGAAAAAAACTACAGGAAAAGTCAAATAGTTATGAGGACCACACGTGTATACACTAATTCACTGGTAATTACACTTCCAAATCAAAAAGCCGTCAAATTGACTGGTCTGGGAGTTTAATTAGTTGACAACTTTTTCAATAATGAATTAGTGGTGATGGATGGATTCACTAGTTTGGATGAAACGATGAACAACCGCAGCCGTTGTCGAGGAAGGACAGTCTTGTACCTTTGCATCCACACCTCCAACGTTCAATTCTGCTCATCATTTATTGACACATTTGCTTGTTTTATCCCACAGCGTTTTCGTATCGACTTCTCCCATCCCACATTTCTTTCCCGTTCTTTTCGGCCAATCAGACCCCATCGTCAGCTCCTTCCAACCTCATAAATAATTCACATTTCCTCCCGGTTTGTGAGTCGGACGGCAGCGCGTGTTTACAGAGCACATCCAAACAGCACATTTGTAGCGTTTTGTATTGGTCAGACGCACACGCCGAGAGAGGGAAAGTCGATGGGAGAAGAACAGCCCCGAGGCGAGACCAAAACAATACCAGAGTGTGGGGTTGAATGAATGAGAGAGTGAGACAGAGAGAGATGGGCGGGAATGTGCAACACCCCCATCTGGTGGAGCAATGCATGAACAACACCCTGCTTTTGTTAAGACACATCGAGCCTGGCGCCATCTTACCACAAGATTGTACTAATATTGTTTCGTACTAAGCTCTGGATCTGCTCCATTGACACCGTGAACAGGTGGGAGGGGTCAACTCCTTTTGCAGATGGAAACAATTGGATCAGAGTTTACCGTGACGTATGTTATGAACCCGAGTGAGTCACTAGCTTTAGCATTTAGCCTAGCTTTAGCCATCTCCTTTGCCGCAAAGGGAGCCTGTGGGGAGTAGAGCCACAACATTACATTTGCAAAAAATTCCTTTTCAATTTGTTGATATTTGGAGCCGAACCAGAGCGGACTACTTTAATATTGCATTCTTTGCCATTGCCAAACGACAACCAGCAAGCTCGGTGCAAACTCCCGACGTCACCGACACCTACAACCCCCGCCTCCTGATTGGTCAGATGGGACCGATGTAATTGCAAACACAGCGGTCAGACCCAGATGGTACTCGTAAGGAAATATTAATTGACCGGAGTGTACGGATGGATAAGGTAACACTCCATCCAATGAAGAAGACAGACTCACCAAACTAAAGTGTTTCCCAAACTGGAGTCCGGGCACCGCTGGGGGCAGTGTTCATTTTGACAACACATTTTAAGTTAGTCTCAGTTGGAGTCTAAAATTACTTTTTAATCTAGTTTTTGTCATAGGATTTTAGTTGAATTACTTTTTACCAATGACTTGTGTCCTTGGGCAAGACACTTAACCCCACATTGCCTGAAGCTCCCGCTGAAAGACCAAGGCTGTGGCACCATTGATGGAGCAGCCATCTCTGATTGTCGCCCCCTGACCCAGAAATGGACTAATAAAGGCGTAGAAAATGAATGAATGAATGAAAACTCCCCAGGACTTTTTCACATCGTATGAAGACTTTATAATGTAAAACCTGCAGCTTCAATAAGACATTTTTTTCTTCTTTATTTACATCAATGTTTTACTTCCATTTCTAAGTTTTGATTAAAATAAATCTGGGAAACTTGTATATTTAAACCTGTTACTTTTGTCTTTGAGCAGAATTTTGGAAACTTCTTTTATAAAATGTGGTGTATAAGTAAAGTGGAATGGATTTATTGATGTACTTTGCATATTCTCCATGCGTTTGCCAAGGTTTTCTCCGTGTGCTCCGGTTTCAGCAACCACTAAACACATGTATAATAGGTATGAAATGTACAAAAAAATAAAGGTAAAGGTGCAATTTATTGATCCCCGTAGGGCAATTCATCCTCTGCATTTGACCCATCCTGATGCCACTAAGGCTTACGTCAGGAGCAGTGGTCGCCGTAGTAACAGCGCCCGGGAACCCATCTCCAGATGTTGATGCTCGGCTTGATCAGGACCAGAGCTGGAGGATTTAACCTAATAATAATAATGCATCGGTTTTATATAGCACTTTTCTGGACACTCAAAGACGCTTCACATGTGTCATTATTCTTTCACTCCAAACACGGTGGTGACAAACTACTACTGTAGCCACAGCTGCCCTGGGGCACACTGACAGAAGCGAGGCAACCAGTCTGTGCCATTGACCCCTCCCACCACCAACAACCATTCACTCACACACCAGACTCATTCTAGGCAATGGGGGTGAAGTGTCTTGCCTAAGGACACAACAGCAGTTTGGCACTTTACAGCCGCAGCCGCCCCACTGTGGCTGCTGTTCCCAGAGGTTAAGTGTCTTGCCAAGGACACAACGACAGCAGACAAAGTCCAATGCTCTACCAGCTGAGCTACTGTCGCCCAACCTAGCGTATATGTTTTTAGTGGTAGGGGAAACCGGAGCACCCGGAGGAAACCGGAGCAGGCACAGGGAGAACATGCAAAGTCCACTCAGAAAGACTCCCAGGATCTTCTAGCTGAGAGGCTATCCACTCAGCCACCGTGCCGCCCTGTTTTCTCATAAGTAGGTTTTGGTCTGACATTTTACTTTTTAAGACTTTCTGAGACAAAACAATTAGTTTTATTTATGAAACAAAAAAGTTATGGAGTCGAGCTTTACTTTGCTTATCGGGGGAAAATGACACTGAAAGAGCAACAAGATGGGGCTTTTGTCACCGCCGTTTGGAAACTTCTTTACTGTCTTTGCACAGAGGAAAAACTGAGGCACAAATGGTTAAACAAAAAATTAAACATAATTATTATAGTTTGTTATTTAAAAGATGTAGTTATCTTAAAGGACTTTACTAAACCGTCACATTTGCCAACACAGATCAGAGAATCAGGGAGTTCCAACACAACTTGGCGCAGTGGTTAGCACTTGTGCCTCACAGCAAGAAGGTCGTGAGTTTGATTCCACCCCCAGACCTTTCTATGTGGTGTTTGCATGTTCTCCCCGTGTCTACGTGTAGGTTTACTCTGGGTGCTACGGTTGCTCTAGAAAACATGTGCAATAGGTCTGGCATATGGTCTAAAGAAGGACTGAACCAGGACTGAACCTGGTCTACAGCACGACTAAACCCGGTTTACAGCATGCAGGACTGAAACAGGTCTGAAGCAGGACTAACCGGGTCTACAGCAGGACTAAACCAGGTCTAAAGCAGGACTAAACCCGGTCTACGGCATACACAATCACTAAACCACGCGTTATGATTTTATTTTCTATTTCATCCAAAGTGTCACGCGTTGATTGTGGATGAAAATTGCCTTTTCATCAAACCGAGGGCATTTCAAAGAGTTGTCACGACGCGGGCCTCCCTTCCTCCACCTCCCCCTTACCCTCCCTCACCGTCCCCCTCCCTCACCCCCCCCCCCTCCGTAAACAGAAATAACATCAGAAGAACGGCAGCAGAAAGGGCCGGCCTGATGAACGTCACTCACACATTAATATAGAGCTGAGCA